CGAGGGCAGGGGGAACAGATACTTTCTAGTGAAGGGTTAGACAGTTTGACACTAATTTGGATTTGGGCGAGGCGGTATAAGGAAAACTGGAGAAGACCTACTGAAATTACCAAGTAGACCCCATGGAAAACGCATTCCAGGATATTGATCAGAGTCTGAAGACAAGTTCGCTTGTAACACAAGTTACGTAGAAATTGTCAGGAATATCCTCTATTGAATTTCCTACCCTACCGGCAAATTTGGATTCCATTAAAATACATGGCCGGAATCTGCCAACTTTTTAACATAATAAACCTTGTCAGGTGAACGTTGATAGGTGAGCGTGAGATGTTCGTTAGAACAGTGTTTCTGAAACGTTGTCCTGTTTCATCAAGCTAGAATCCTGTTTTATGCCTCAAGTCATACTGAAACGGACCGCATCTGTGGTCTAGTGATCAGAGTTCCTGGCTACAGATCCAGAGGTCCGGGTTCGATTCCTTGTGCTACAAGATTTTTCTGAGAAGTAGTGGGTCTGGAACGGGGTCCACTCAGCCTCGTGAGGATAATTGAGGAGCTATTTCAAGGAAATGGCGGCTCCGGTCTAGAAAACCGAAATTGACTGCCGTTGGGATTCGTTGCGCTGACCTAACAACACCCTCTATCCGCTAAAGTTGACCCTAACTTCGTCGACAATCGGCGGTCGCTCGGTCGGTACAATTCGCTTGAGAACTATAATTACGGAGTTTGTTTTGTTTGTTTGTTTGTTTGTTTGTCATACTGAAAGATGTACGTATTGTCGCAAAGTGTCATGTGAGTATTTCTGTATGTATATACGTAATATTTATGAATGATTAAATGAGTTAGAGAAAGTATTCATTACCACCACGCAAGCACTTTACATTAATAAAGATAAACCGTATTCACAACTTAGCTTAGTTCTTTAAGTAACATTATTCGCTTTTCTTCACTTATGTGTTATTTCCAAAAGTAACAGAATAATTCCAAAAGGATGGTCCACTCAAGAGCTGAAGTAAATTTTTAATTAAGATATAAAAGTTTGTGACGATTGTACATAGTCCAAATATTAGGTGCTTGAATATTATCCGTCGTTCTGACTTTATCTAAAAAACACCGTCCTATTAATTTTTCAAAACACAATGTTTCGGAGACTGGATTTTGTCTCCGTCTTCAGGTTGTTGGGCACAATTGATAGAGGTAGCCCCTACCTCCGGACTTTCGTTTTACCATAAGTTTTAATTTTGTTATACAGTATTGTCGCCTGACGGAGTGACTATAGATGGGGTTTGGATTGGTAAGTGTATTTATTGAACACTTGTAGATCGTAACTATAGTGCTATCGCTAGTTCACACACTCAGCAGTTCACTATAGCAAGCACTATGACTGCTCAGTCTGCTGCGTCTTCACAAATCGTTGTCTGGTAACGGCTTCCAATACCTTAGATCCATCAACTTTCGTGTTCACGTCCTTACTGCTCAGCTACTGTTTCACAACTAACTAAACTCTAGAATTCTCCTCCTTAAAACACCTCTACCGACACCTCTTCTATTGCTGCGTCGCGTAGCTATCGCAAGGACCGCGTAGAGAACCATTGGTACGTGTTACGAATCTGTCGCTGCCGTTTCCTAGCAATGGCTGTTGTTTACAGAGTCATTACTTAAGAACGGGTCTACATGCTACAGTATCATTCACTGGTCCTTAAGGGTATGTTTTTTCATCTTATGTAAATTGCCATCGTTCCAAAAGGAAAGAAAAAAATGCTGAACAATTAGTGAAAGATTTAAATGGACAAATTTCTGGAGAACTCTGCAATATACGAGGTCTCGAAGGAATGCAGGATAATTTTCCTTATAATATATTCAACCCTCACGGCATTAACAGCTCCAGATATTCACTATAATTTATGTTCTTCGCTCGGAGTTAGAAAAGATTTCATTTTATAACGAAACAAAAGAAATAACAATAACACTAGAGACCTGATTTTTATAAGTGTTTCTGAATTTTGTGGCTCCTGGGTTCGTGTGTATGCAAGTAATTATATATATGACTGATATTCTGACACTCATAACCAGGAATGGAGCCCATGTAATAGATGTTTTAATTGTTATCTGTAATAAGAATTATTTAGTGATGAATCAAAACTGTTTTAATAAGTTTCATTTTCAATAAGCCTTGCTTACATATAACATTTAAGTAAGTTTGTGAAATAATTTCGTTTTATGATTAACGTAATTTAATTTGGGTTTTAGGGGCTTTTAGGGACACGTGGTAACGTAGTTGGTTTAATCACTATGCTACAAGCCGGAAGAACGCGGATTCAATTCGCGATTAGGTCACTGGATATTTCAATTTACCTAATACTTCCAGCCGCACTATGGCCCTGGGTTCGATTCAGCCTCTAACAGAAATGAGTATTAGGAATCTTCATGTGAGTAAAGGGCAGCTGGCTCGTAAGACTGACATCACCGCCATCTGTTTAGAAAATATGGGAGCATCGACGTCTCACAACCCTTTGGGCCTCCACGTCCTGTTACAGATAGAGACTTATTTATTTATTTATTTATTTTGCCTGTTTTTAAAGCATCTCCACTGTTCCTCTTAAACATCAAATAAATGTCAATCAGTAGCAAAATATCCCGAAAGTCTCACGGTGGGATAACACAATCTTAATATAGAATTTAGGGGGGGGGGGGGAGAAAGATTGGAACAGCTCTCTCTATTAATACTCGAAGTTTCGTAGTCAAATAATCCGGGATCGTCGAACTTAAACTTTTCCGTGGGAAACCTTTAAAGTCCCTACAAAGTCTACTTAAAAATATAACATTTTCACGACCGTCTGTTATTCAGTGTTTGCGAATTGTAAGTCTAATTGGTCTCCTATTCTGTATTTTTCGTACCATACCATAAAACATACAGAACTATAGTTGAAGAGATATAACTATCTCTGTCTTTCCATTACTGCGAAAAGTTTAAATTAGTTTCACGTTGAACCGCAAGTTGCGCTGATTACCCGGGTGCACCATGACTTCTCTCCTACCTCTATACTCTCTCACTTTTCCTTCCTCTGCTCTTCACCACGTCACATCATTCCCATCCATTTATTGTCTAGAGGAATGTCTTGCCCTTACTTTCCATTTGCACTGGATTAAAAGTAATAACAACAATGATAAACTAAAATCTACCACAGCAGAAACTTACCGAATGTGGTGTATAGTGTCATTTGTTGAGACGTGACGCTCAGTGCAGAACAGTCTCCGAGTCTGTAAGCAGCACAATGATAAAGTTTACGTACGTTGCGGCTGAAACTTGTTAAGGAAATCCGATGCGTCTCCCTTGTAAGCTACCTGAGCCTGCTGTGGTGTCAAGTTCCTCTAGCGTTTCATTTTGGAAGCATAAAATGCATTCTAATATGATTATATTGAAATTCAAATAAAGTAATATGATACTCTTGTTGCAGTTCAATAAGGATTGCAGATCTTCAAACGAAGTTCAATTTTATCTCCAATAGCTGTAGCTTTACATACTTAATTAAGTAGTCGAGAATAATTTTGTGACGTTCTTAATAATTTCGAGAAATGTTTACTGCGTGTATCTTTCTTTAATTTTTTAATTCTCTTAGTGGGGGTTGGAGTCCAGTTGGGCCCACTCGGCACGGTGGCCACTGATTGGCCTATTGTAGCCTGCCCCGGGTGTTTATGATGATGGAGAATTTGGTGGGATGAAGATTGGCAGGGGAAATCGAAGCACTAGGAGAAAACCCGCCCCAACGCCACTTTGTCCACCACAAATCCCACTTAACCAGACCCGGGATCGAACCCGAGCCGTGTGTATCTTACTTACTTATGGAGCTTAGCCCTTCTGGAGGAGCCTCCAATTCTGAGGTTACTCAAGAATTTCCCCGCATTTTATGGAATCCGAAGGTTCATTACCGTGTTCACAAGAACCCTACACTGGTTCCTATCCTGAGCCAGATCAATCCAATCCATACCATCCCATCCTGTCTCTCTAAGATCCATTTTAATATTGTCCACCCATCTACGCCTTAGTCTACCCAGTGGTGTATCACTTACTGTATTAGTAAACAACTCAGTATCTTCCTCACACAGTGTATATATAAATATATATATATATATATATATATGTGAGTCTTGTGATTCCTACAATAAACAGCGATTTCTTCCCTCGACACGCGTTTCTCATACTCGTTTGAGAGGAACCTTCACATGATTCAGAGTCATTTTATGCGCTAAAGCGAAGAGCAAATTCTTGTCCCTACCTGGTATCGGGGGTACGCGATAGCGTAGTTGATTGCTGCACAATGCTACAAGCCGTAAACACGTGGGTTCGATTTCAGATCAGGTCATTGAATTTTTACAATTGACCTAATTCTTCCAAACCCACTTTGGTCCTGTGGTCGATTTTGAGTACCAGGAATGTTACTCGGGCCACAGGACGGCCGGCGCGTAAGGCTAACCATCTCACCGTCATCTGCAAACCGATTATCTAGAAAATGTGGTAACCTCGACGTCTAACAAATCTATCGGCCTCCACGGCCAGTTACAGGGATACCTTTACCTTGTGAATTGCATTTTCTAAAACGTTTATTGTTATTAGACTACTTCACGACGTCTGTCGTCCATTTCTGACTGAACGAAAGTGACGCATTTGAATATACAGTGGTCTTGATTGTAGGAAAACAATTGTATAAAACTATTTATGTTACTAATTTCTACAAGACAAGAATAACATAAAAACTGCTAACATTCATATTCCAGTGACTGTGATATGCAAAAGTAGGTATTGTGTTCTTAGGAGTGGTATTAATTTTTAGAAAAGTTACAAAAATATCTGCTTCGTCTGCTACGGAATTCTGGCTTCGATATGAACCCCGAGCTTCAAGCGGCCGTGAACATGAAGATTACAATCTTGTGGCATGTGACGCCGTGCATTTTGGTGACTATGTACAACGTTTTTGAAAAAAAAAATATGCTGCCTCATTTTTTTCCTGAAGACAGATCCCGCAGGGGCGCTTCGATAAAGTTAATGAAGGTATCTTCTTCTTCCTCTTCTTCTATTCCTGTTGCTTCCACTTGGAGCATAAGACATCCGTGTAACTTTTAGTTTCAATTCAGTTTCCTACTCTAAGACACTCGCTAGGTCTCCTTGGATGAGAGATGAGCCCGTCGCAAATCCGCCACCTAATACAAACACAGAATAAACAAAGACATCAATGACTTGAATGGGTTTCGAACCCACGATCTCAGTATTCCAGCGGGAGAAGACATTTCATGCCTTAGAACGCGTGGCCACTGTGATCGGTAAATGAAGTTATTAGTCCATAAAATTACACGGTGACATATCCTAGAAGACACGTCTCTCTCTATAGGTTGATTCTCTTCCAGTTCAGTTCAGAGATAGAGAGAAAGATCATTAATTTGAAAGAATTGACATCCACAGGAGTAAAAGTATTTATGATAAAAAAGATATATATATTTTATCGAGAGTGTAGTTATTAGTATACATAGTAAATGTATTCCACGCAAGCGCAGAACAAACAAAGAGATGTGGGTATTAATTTGAGAGTTCATACATGCATAACTTGAAAGGCACAAAGAACAATATCCCTGCTTTTTTATGGAGAACATCATGATGTGAATGTTGTTACTCGCAGATCAGAGCTATTGTGCCCCTGTCCCCATCTTTTGTGTCACTTACACACTTATTACGCACTGCGCCGAGTGACAGCCATATCGTGTGGCTGAAGGACCTCATGGTTCATGAAGAGTACAGGGAGTCACTGCAGTTTGAGAGGCATGAAATGAACGGTTAGATAGAAATCGGGATCCTACAGTTATCTTTGCACCAACGACGATTCGGAATCTCATTCAATACATTCAGTAAAATAAATACTTAAATAAATATTCTTGTACGTAGAAACATGGACTACACATGTAGATTTTCATGTAAGGTGTAAGTTATTTTTGTGCGATTTTAACCAAAATTGTGAGTGACAGATTTTTAGTAAAACTCCCAAATACCAAATTTTATAAAAATCCGCTGGGATATTCTCGACTTGTTATAAGCGGAGTCAAGGAAAGAAAGACAAATAGCAAAGGTAATAGGTACACAGAAACATATATATACATTTCCGTTGCGAATGTACCAAAGATTAGAGTTCTTTTAAGTGTATTTCTAAACTGACACCGAGGTTAGTAAGGTTCCCCGTTGGCAGTGTTTAAGAAGAATATTATGACTCTATGTTCAGGGTGGAAGAATATTCTACCCTAAAACTGGATGTTGCACCCTCCTCCGAAAAGCGAGTAACCAATCACCAAACTGTGCAGTCACATTACAAAATACTCATTATAACTCTCCCATATTAAGAAATAAATTCAACAATAGAAGTTTCTAACAATACAAATTCCACCATCAACGAAACTATAATTTATTAACTTATGTTCCACCACATGTTTCGGTCCTTATAGGGTCATCTTCAGGTATTCTGATTTAAACATTTTCATTATTAAATTCTAAAGCGTGTATTCTTGTTTACATACATAAGCTTAAAACAACCACTTTCTATTTAAGATAACGCTATCCCTGTAACGGGCTTTGGAGGCCCATAGGTTTGTGAGACGTCGAGGATCCCACATCTTCTAGATAATCGGCTCACAGATGGCGGTGAATTCAGCCTTACTCGCCGGCCGCCCTTTACCCTCCAAGAAGATTCCTGGTACTCATTTCTGTTAGAGGCCGAGTCGATCCCAGGGCCATAGTGCGACTGGAAGGATTAGGTAAATTGGAAAAATCCATTGGCTTCATCGGGAATGAAACCTGTGACCTTTCGGCTTGTAGGATAGTGCCTCAACCAACTACGCAACAGCGTGCCCCCCATAATGCAGCGATACCTGTAATTAAATATCCATAATTGAGATGGCAGTAAACTCATTTTCAGAATTACAAGCCCCAAAAAAAAGGTCTCCCTTCTCTTCTGAATGTGGCTGCAGCCAGTCCAATTCATCACTGTCAAGTACATCTTGGCTGTTCGGATTCTGTTTGAGCTGTCACTCCATTTGTCAAATGGGACGCCAAATCTGCGAGTTGCTGCCGAAATTGCTGTAGCGGCTTCCGCTCTCGACATATCGCTATAACATTCGCCACTTAACGTCTGTGTGTGTTTTTTTAATAACAATAAAACTTTCAGTTCTGGCACTACAGCCCACCGCAGCACTTGACTTCTTACGGAGGTGCATCTCAAACCTTCGGCACGAGATGGAGGTTAATGACGAACGTCACGCCTCGGGCCCTCTGTCTCTGTAGATGGAGCCACTTTTGTGCCACGTCGACCTGGATGCTGTGACGGAAAGAAGTCTTCACCTCTGCCGCAAATTGAACCCCATTTCCAGGTTTCCATCCCGCAGCCTAATAGGAGAATGTTTAGACAGAAGAGAAATGAAGTGACAGGAGGTTGGAGAAAACTGCATAATGAGGAGCTTCATAACTTGTACTCTTCTCCAAGTATAATTAGAATGATCAAGTCAAGGAGGATAAGGAGGGCAGGGCATGTAGTACGAATAGAGGAGACGAGGAATACATATAGGATATTGGTGGGAAAACCAGAAGGAAGAAGACAACTATGAAGACAAATACGTAGGTGGGTGGATAATATTAAAACGGATCTTAGAGAAATGGGTTGCAGTGATATGGACTAGACAGATCTGGCTCAGGATAGAGAAATTAGAGGGCTCTTGTGGACACAGCAATGAACCTTCGGATTGCATAAAATTTTGAGAAGTTCTTGCGCAGTTACATAATTTGCGGCTTCTCAAGAAGTGCTCAGCTCCATGAAGTCAGCTAGTCACTGTATTGACTGAGTTACCCGGTTCTTATTCATAAGTATACCCGGTCCATGGTAGAGCCAAGAAGGTGGTGAGTTGTCTCACTGATATATCAGGAGCTATCGTTTTGCATTCCGTACTTTGCTTCCTCTATACTTCTTAATTTTAATGTGAGATTTGAAATTTTAATATCTGTGACCATAAATATGACTGTATTCTCGAAAGTGACGGCGCCCAATTCAGTAGAAAGGTGCCAATCTTTGAGAGATACTGCCCCCTCCACTTTCAAGTTGGAAAAATTCTTCCCTGAAGGCCGAGGCAGAAGATCACTCAGATACTTTGGTACATATCTACCAAACTACACCAAGTCACGTCCCTAAAGACTGTAACTTCATTGAGCAGTATGCACACCGCATTATACAACATGAAAACACCATATCAAATTGTAATCCTGAAATAATACAAATATAAATAAGTTTATAAGAGAGTTCTTCCTTGAAGATGGAGGCATCAAGTTTCTCTGAAAATTTGGTATATATCTATAAATTGCACGGCGATAAATTTCATAAATCGTTAGTAACATTCATAGTAACTGTATGAAAAATACAAATCTCAGATCGAAGCCAGGAAATTAGTACAGACGCACACATGGAATAGAAAAATATGAATATATGTAGTGGACATAGTATAATATGAAAACATCATAATCTAGGTTTATTGCGCAGCCGTATAGAAATAAACACGTTAAGAGAAGACTCCTGATCTGAAGATAGAGGCATCAGACCGTTAAACTGGTTATAATTTAATAAGTTTACAGTTTAATTATCCATTTCTGTGCATAATCATTAGAATCATGAACACACGGATCTTCTTACATACTTAACGCTGGTTTAACTAACAACATTCCTTCAAACATGCACATATTTTCTGTTGTGTTCAATCTACGAGCGTAAGATTAAAAACCTCACAGTAATCTATGAGCCGATTGTGTAGAAAACGTGGAAGCCTCGACGTCTCACAACACTACGGACCTCCACGGTTTCTTACAGGAATAAGAAATAAAAGTTGTCCCTCTACTTTAATCAAGCACTACGCCATTCAGACATATGAAGGTGTGGATGCTTAGATCCAAGTTTTCTTGACCTCACGCCCGGAACGCTTTACCCCCGGGAAAATATTCACCAGTACCCATTGGATACGAGGTTGGGTGGACACCAGAGACAATCTGGACGACGTGGCGAAGAGAAAATTCTTGAACTTACCGGGACTCGAACTCCGAACACTCCGTCGTCCAGCCCGTAGCCAGTCGCTATACCGACAATTCTATCTGATCCTCTGCTATAGGGACAACTTTACATTTCTATTGCCTTCAATCTGTACATGTCTTGACACTGTTTATGCTGGTTTATTTGAGTGCGTTTTCTTGTTATGATGAAATTCCAATATTCGTACCGTGATGAGAACCGAATCTTGGAATTCGGAGCGAAGTAACCGCCGTGGATTCGCAGAGCACAATTATTCGGTAGTGCCGTTTGCTTCGTCGTGGTTCTGAGAGTGTTGTAAGCGGGAGGGAGCCCTCACGATGACTGCAGCCGCACTCCACAGCTTCCCGACGGTTACCTGAGTACAATGAAATGAATGCATTGCACAGTTCGATACCAGACTTTCCTGCATACCTACACCACACAGTTGTGTAGAGCATGCCGTTAGCTGGAATACTAGGAAACACATGCACTTCATACTTACACTGAGTTTATTCACGTTTATCTGCGGTTGGAGTTCGAAGAGCTATATTTCGTCTTAAGGGACTGAGGAAAATGGCGGAGAATCTCAGGAAGTGTTGTCAGTGTACAGGTCAGAGTTTAAACACTAACCTTCTTCACCCCCAAGTCAACTTGCTGGGACATATTCACATGAAATATATTGTAAACATGGAGATAACATTTCATTTATGGTCTGATTTCTAAAAACAAAAATGCTTCCATTACAATGGTAATTTAAATTTATCCCCTTAACACATTTACACATTGGTTTTTAAAGTCATGCAGCTATATAATCAAAAGAAAAAAATTAAAATCGTGGTGGAAATAATTTTACAGTTGCTCAATTCGTCAAGATATTTTCCGCTTTTATGAAATCCTGAAGTACCATTGGATCTTTACCTGAAGCAAATGACTCCAGTCCAAATTTCGTTTTTCTAAGATCCATTCGAATTAGCGTTTCTTTCGTTGATTCTTTTGTTGAGTCTTTGTTTTATCGTTAGTTAGTTTGTCCGCTGGCTGTTTTGTTGGCTTGTTGGTTGTTTCAGTGGTGTTCGTTTGTTGGTCGGTTAGTCAGCATTGCTTATTTGGGTGAAAAAGTCATAAGTGCTCACAGAGATGCATGTCCAGCAGAAGAATTTTATTATTTTTAATGTTTTGAATTATCAAACGTATTCAAATTTCGATCCAGAGGCCACTTATCCTAACGGAGGTATGCCTGTCCCCCTCCGCTTAGATAATTTTTGTGAAATAACATTCATGTACTCACAAGTCTGACACACGTTTTTCAATTCATTACTCACTAATTATCTTCGTTGTTATATAATTGTGAGTTATTGACAGTATTGTTAAGAACGATGAATAAATAAAATAAAATAAAATTATAAACAGAGTTTTCTTTGGATGCTGTACAAATGTTTGAAACTAGAAATTATTTCATATTCTTACATTCACAGAGAGAACTTCAGGTTTGAATGGAATGTGTTGAATGAATAGAAAGTAATTTCCTAAAGTGAGTTTCGATTTATAGTCTACAGGGAAAGGAGGAGTTCAAAGATCTTTAAAAGGACAAATTTACGAAGGGGGGGGGGTAATGAGAAATAGAAAGATGATAAGGCGTAATCCGTAAATTTGTGACATTTTGGCTGTCAAAGCAACAATAAAAATAAACCAATTGAATTGTTTATATTGATTTTATTCAATAACTGCTACATGTTTCAGTTCACATTCGGAACTTTTTCAGAAAATTTTTATAAAATACGTCTCATGTTATCGAAATATCCTAATATGGATCCATACAGCGTAATTGGTTGAGGCACTATGCTACAAGCCGGAAGGTGGCTGGTTCGAGTCCCGATGAGGTGAATTTTTCAATTGACCTAATCCTTCCAGCCGCACTATGGCCCAGAGTCGACTCAGCCTATAACAGAAATAAGTATGAGGAATCTTCCTAGAGATAAAGGGCGGCCGACGCATAAGGTTGATTACCTCACCGCCATCTTTGAGCCGATTATCTAGAATCTGTGGGAGCATCGGCGTCTCGCAAACCTATGGACCTTCACGGCCTGTTATAGGGATATCTTTACGTTTTCTTTTAGTTCACAATAAATACAAGCCTATAAGTCGTTCATATTTCTAATTTGAACCAGCAGATAAATTAGATTAAGTGATTCTGTAAAGGTTTGTGACAATGGTTAATTAGTTAAATAAACTAATTACATGTTTAGCATTCTTTGCCTCGTAAGATGTGTTTGCTACACAGGATGTTTCGGAACTTGGGCCTAAGCCTGTCTTCAGGCGACCGGTTTTCATGTTATGAATACTAGAATATATAAAAGGAGAACATGTACAGGCCGCCCAATAGACTGCTAGTGTACTGCTGTAACTTCTCAGAGGTTTCGGGATCCTGCCGAAACTTAAATTAAAAACAGACGGTGATGAGAAAATACGCATATATCAGCATAAAGAGACCGTAACAGGTGAATATTAACTCGTGACCTGAGGTTTATGTAATATCAACATTGACAAAATAGTTAAATATTTCAATCGAAATTTCCGAAACGTGCTATGTATGAAATATAATCCATACTCTAGCCGGTCACGGTAGCCGAGCGGTCTAAGACATGTACTGTTTTCGCTCGCTCGGAAGCCGGGGTCGCGGGTTCGAATCTCACACAAGGCATGGATGTTTGGTGCGTGTATGCGTGTATTCTGTGTTTGTGTTGTCCTGTGTTTAGGTAGAGGATTTGCGACGAACTGATCCCCTGTCCAAGGAGTCCTACCATCTGTAAAATGATCATGAAACTGAGGAATCAGCCCTGTGCTCCAAAGTGAGAGCGAGAGGAGAGAAAGAAAACAAATCCATACCCTGGATGGAGTCCAACATAATATTGGTTAAGGATAAGCATGTAATTTTGTAGAGTAACCAAAGATTCAGTAAAAATACTGGCACAGAGGATATTAAAAATAAGTTCTGGGAAGAAATAATCTCCTAGTTTCATTTGATACGACACCAACTGCATAGTAAACGGAAAATTTAAGGGCGGAGGACCCAGACAGCAAGGCGATTTTATAAGCCTCCTTAATACGATGCTGAGTCATATAAAACAAAAAAAAAAAAAATAGGAGAGATACACAGAAATATATATATATACACACACACTCAGAAAAGTGATCTCATGAGCCTGTTTTTATTTTTTAAAAATAAATAAAATAGGCTAAAAAAATATTTGTCCCTCATATGGCCTATATTTGCAATAGGCTTACGCTCATCAATCATTTCCTCTAGATAGCATACTATATATCATGCATGTATGCTCATCAAAGGAAATGTGCTGTGTCTTAGCCCTTCCCACATAATTATCTCTCTTGTTGAACTTAATTTATGTGCCACCATATCAACTGTATACATAAGAGGACAATTTGTGTGTTATAAGCAATCCAAACTTTACCTAACCCGCTTTTATTTGTGTTCATATGCAGTTAATTAATGGTTAGGTAAATACCTATTACCGTAGGCAGAAAACTGGCGTATTTCTGGATTTTAGTCACCTGATGTTTCGCTTCTGTTTGCCGTACATCCACGATATGTCTCTACTGTTTGTTCCTGCAGATGTACCACTAACGGAGCAACAAGGGAGCGAATGTGTTTACATGCATCAGATATACGTGGGCATTTCAGTGTACATAACAGAAGGGATCTCTTCGACATTACAAATAAAGCATAAACCGGTGAAAAGCGTCCATTTGTGTAGCTATCGGAACTGTGGCCAATGAAGTACAGTTCTAAGTAATTATGGAACTAGGGAGTGATAATAGTAGATATTAAACTAACAAAATACGAAACCCCATTTACGACTAATGGACGCGTTACACAGTACTCTCCCAAATAAATGTATGGATACATTAATGTAGAAATATGTGTGAATGGTAACAACTGCATCCAGTCACGTGCTCTTAGATTCCGTGCAAAACAATAACTACACATACACAATTACATACATATATTGTTTACATTACAATTACAATTGAAGTCAGTAATAGAAGAACGGTCTATGATAAACATAAACATGAACTTAATGCATTAAAGAGGTCATGAATGTTCGACATGTAATTCAGGAGAGATGAAATATTATCACGTGTTTTGGTTGTGACTATTAGACGGAATATGGGTCGTATGATTTGATTTATTGTCTCCTCGTACACACTACTCGAAACTACAGGTAACTACAAATAATACAGCGCTATCGCTGACTTACAGGCTTTACAGTCCACCGTCACACACATACTAGTGTTCTCGGTCTTCACTAGTCGTATCCTGTCAACGGATTTATAATAGTCTCACTATTACTGCAGCACACGTAAAGTCTTCTCTTCACAGCCAGGCTTTCAACACCATTGAACTATACTCAATAATTCTGTTGCAAATATCCTGTCAGGCTGGTGTCTCGAAACTCAACTGACTCAAACGACTTTCAGACTGTGTTGAGGGCAGCTGGAGAGACTGAAACCACGCAAGGAAATATTCAAGATTGGCTTGAGCTGGATGGAGGAGACCCTGTATTTCAAATTCTGACAGAGGTAGAAATTGCTGCGGTGATATTTTTTTATATTTATTTTCATCAGGACTATCTATATTATTAAAATTTCTATTTATTTGTTTTATAAGTTTTTTGTCTTTTAGGGCTATCTGTTGCTTCGTTAATCCAGATTATACGTTAATACGGACGACCTCTGTCCCCAATTAATCCGGATTAGCGATGGTTTACTGTATATATATATATATATATATATATACAGGAAGAAACTAGGTTAAGGGGACAGCAGGAGGAAGGGGTTCATGCTCGTGCTTAGGAATTAACAGCGCTGAACCTGCTGATGCTACCAGGAAGTCAATCATCTACTTTGTGTAAAAAAAAGAAGACAGCTATATATATATCTCACTATGCAAATCCTTGTTCGCCGTCGGGATAGAGTTCGCATTTCGTGGAAAGCTCCTGTGACTTAGTTTCCATGAAAATCTGATTTCACATTTCCTTTATTGACTCAAGCGTGCTTACATCAGGGCTCGATATGAATACTAGTACTATGAACCGGGCTAGCTGATTCGTCAAGCTAACATCTTTACATATTATATTTTCTGTTCATATTTTATGGAGCTTTGGAACCAAATTGGTGTCCTAGAGGTTCATATATGGTATATTTTATGTTTCAGTGGTTTAACATGTTGAGGAAAAACAAGAGATTGAGGGAGCTTGGGAACAAGTTTTAAGAAGAATGATATTAGCCCTTTAAAACCTGAACGTCTTCGAAATAATATATAAAAACCCAGTTCGTACCTCACAGGAAACACGTTACTTCTCCACTACAGAGAATAACAGGTTAATGTGTTTGAGAGAAATAAATCTTGCTTATTGTGATAAACATGCGGACACACACACATACACTGTATGGAGAACATGCAGAGTTTTGGTAAGTTAAATATTTACCACAGGGCTTTAAGGAGTTAAAATGATTAAATTAACAAGAAAGACATGGATGTAACATAAAACTCCCATTGTAAGAGGGGTTATATTTGTTCACTATTTTACTTCCGAAACGTCAAATGAAGAGACAATCTGGGAGACAAAGGCGTACGTCAAATGATATTATTAAAATGGATGAGAATAATTTGTCAAGTTTTGGATCAGATTAAACTGATTCAAAATAGGATAAAATGGCCGGACTTTGTGAAGACCATAAGGAAATTTTCTAAAAGTTTGTGATGATGGATAATGTCCAAAAACATAATATCTGAAGGAATACTTCTCTTTAAACTATTTCTCAAAAATTTATTTATTATTTAAATAATACTGATTATTCAAGTACGTCTTGTTTCACAGAATTCAGTAGATGGAAGTTCACTTTTCAAAAAATCCCTCCCCCCACCCCCACAGAGCGCCATTTCTGCTTTAGAAACAAAAATAACCAATGCAATACAGATCAATTCCATTCAGTTCATTTCTCATTTTGAGCTGTGGATGGGGATCATTACGGTCCCATTAATTTAATGACCAAATCAATGCCTTCTCCTGCAGACAAATATTAATTTACATCAGGCCTACACACAGAGCTACGTGTTTCATATAGAGCAGAGTAGGGCGGATAAAATTGCTGTAAATACAGAACTCCATTTTATAATTTACACAGGGTGAAATGAAATGTTTGTTGATAATAAACTGAACCCACTGCATTCGTGTTTATAACGTCATCATTGCCTTCATGTCAAGTAACTCCAGTTCATTTTTTTTATCCTATATATTCAGAGCTTGTTTTCCTCTTCGATACAGTAAAATGTTTCAGGGAAGAATTTAAATGATAATTATATAGCAGTAGTAGTGCCGACCACAGTGGCACGGCGGTCTAAGACGTGAACTGTCTTCGCCCGCTCAAGCACTGGGATCGTGGGTTCGAATCAAACTCGAGGCATGAATGTCTGTATGAGTTTATTATGTGTCTGTGTTGTTCCATGTATAAGTAACGGCCTTGCGTCGGGCTGAGCACTCGTCCAAGGTGTCCTACCGACTGCATATAGGATTTAGAACCTGAAAAAGACGCCTAGTCCACAAGGACTGTAGAGGATTACTCAAATATATGACTAAAGATAAGCAATATAATATATATATAAAACAAATACAAATACATAATTAATAATACTGTCACGTGTTGGAAGGCTATTGTCTGGCAACGGCTATCTCTGTTCATCAATATATTCCGGCTTTTAGCAGCTCTACCACAATATCAAATTAATTTATATATCATTGAATGATGTATAAAATAAAAATGAAGGAGTAAAAGCAACTTAAATTCCACAAGTTACGCAGCTCCATGTGTGTGCAAATGTGACGTCATGTATCAAAGATTATATCTGTGCAAGAAGGATTTGGTTCCCATCATAATGTTGAATATAGAATCAGGTAAATGTCGAATGATGACGTAACGAATCTACGTCACTAGATGATGGTGGATCAGCCTTAAGGATGGTTTGGACACAATATAAATGCGAGGCTGATCTGCAAGAGGCTGACGTACCGAAGGTAGGCTTAAAAATGGTGGCTTAACAACAGCTTGTAAAAAGGATCGTGGAGACGAGGCTGACAGTTGCAGAGATAAAACCTTTCAATTAACTCTCAATAAACAAGGGTCGAAAAGCGATACATCTGCTGACACCAAATACCTTGGATATTGACGAGTAACACGTTTATTCTATAAGGACACAGGATGGTTACGAAAGACTACATCTATGAACTGTTAGTTCGAATTTGCACTTGGTTAACTTATTCCTGTCTACTTGAATATATAGTTACATACTTCTGAAACGAGAAATTTCCTTTATCGGAAAATGTTTCTACTTCAGGAAATATAGAGTGAAAGGTAATTAAAAGTTTTNAACTAAATATCCATGCCCTTTGTGGGATTCGAACCCACGATCCAGGTTTCCAAGTGAGCGAAGACAGTACGTGCCTTAGACCGCTCGGCTACAGTGACCGGCAAAAGTTATATATAACGAACATAAATTATTACAAAAGCAAAAAGGTAGGAGGTGAAGTTGTCCCTGTGTTTAATTATGCATTATGCCATCAAGACTTCTGACGAGAGGGACCATAATTCGGACTTTCTTGACTTCGGCATTGGCAATGAAAAACATGAAATAAATGACAAAGCACCGCCTCCGTCTTCAGGTTAGGCAAAGTACGGCCATAATTCTTGTCTTTTTTACATCATCATCATCATCAGTAATCTGTCAAGACGACAGGTCCACAGTCTCTTCCAAAACAGTTCCTCCACTTGATGCGATCTAGAGCTTTCTCCTTCAAATGAAAATATCCTCTTCTGTCCCCAAGGTCATCCAGCATCTTCTTACGTCTTCTGGTCACTTCTATCCGCCCATCTATCTTTCCTTCAATAACTTCTTTTAGAAGGCAGTTTCTGCGTAAAACATGACCAATCCAATTAGCCTTCCGTTTTCTTATTTCGTGCAGGATATTCCTCTGCTCACTGACTCTAATTAACACTTCTTCATTTCTGACATAAACGGTCCAACTGATCTTCTCCATCCTTCTCCAACACCACATTTCGAAACTTTCCAGATGTTTCTGATCTACTGCCCTAAGTGTCCATGTTTCGGCCCCATAAAAAGTGATGCTCCAAATGTAGCATTTCACTAGTTTTTTCCTCAAATTGAACAGTTAATCTGTCGTGGTGGACATAGGAGAACTGGGACAGTTTTTCTCTGAGAACTTCTTTTTCCAGTGCCAATTCTCAATTCACTAACTGTTTCATACTCATTAATCACCCCGTCATCGACGCTGTATGACGTCGTTATTTAGAGCGTCGTTAAGTAACAAAGCTTAAATAATGTATATAGATGCATAGTACATATGTAAACTCCTGCTTTGTAACTGACGTAGGAGTGCACTGTTCCTGCCTCCAGTAAAGGAATCTGAAAGTTCATGCTGCGGATTCACTGCCACCCTGTACCGCTTGCTTTTGTTTTTTGCTTCATCATGTCGTTTTCCTTTATTCCTGACTTGGCTGTCCATAAGCAGGGTAGCACACATTAACGCAGCACGAAGTGAGAGAACAGGAGAAAAGAGCTTCCGGGACAAAAAGAATAAAATGGAGTTGATTCGGCTATTTCTTTATGTTCATATCCTCAAATTACAGATCCTCCTGTCCTTTCTACTTTTTTATACAAATTACAAAATGCCTGGGGGCACACGGCAGCGTAGTTGATTGAGGCACTATGCTACAATCAGGAAGGTCGCGGGTTCGACTCCCGATGAGGTCATTGGATTTTTAAATTGACCTAATCATTCGAGCCGCATTATGGCCCTGGAGTCGACTCAACCTCTAACAGAAATTAGCACCAGGAATCTTCCTGTGGTGTAGAGGACGGCCGGTGCGTAAGGCTGACTATCTTAACGCCATCTGTGAGCTGATTGTCTAAGTAATGTGGGAACCTCGTCGTCTCACAACCCTACGGGCCTCCATGGCCTGTTACAGGGATAGCTTTACTTTCTACTTGTATAATTTTACCTTTTTGCTTAACAAATTGCGACATACATTTACGTGTAGAAAAAGAATGGAATTTTGAATAGTTCCCCTGGTCATTACGTGCCACAATATTCTCCCTTTCAAATATTACATTGCCCAAGGCACTGATATACATTTTTATTTATATCAAACGCCCTTCAGTCCCTACTCACTGAGGACACTGAATGTTTACCTACAACCACCTTCATACCTATGTATTTTGTCTTCTTCTGAAATGAAGTTCTTGCACTTAATCGCACCACCACGAAGGCAAGGTTGGGTGAAGTTAAGGCTCCAGTCTTTCTTCGGGTTTATCCCCGCTTTACGTCCTGAGTAGTGCCCCCTTTACCGGTTAGTTATGAAGCCTGGTGGACTGCAAAATTGGTTAGGATATGGTTGTTACGAGTATGCGAGTGCATTTGAGAACAGGGTGCTGAGGAGAATATTTAGACTGAAGAGAGAAGTGACAGGAGCATGGAGAAAACTGCATAATGAGGAGCTTCATAACTTGTAATCTTCGCCAAGTATAATTAGAATGATCAAGTCAAGAAAGATGAGGGGGGTATGGTATGTAGCACGTATGGGGGAGAAGTAGAATGCATATAGAATATTGATGGGAAAGCCAGAAGGAAAGAGACCATTGGTGAGAACAAGACGTAGATAACTTGACCATATTAAAATGGGTCTTAGAGATAGAGAATGGAATTGTATGAACTGGATTGATCTGGCTTAGGATAGGGACCAGTGGATGGCTCTTGTGAACACGGTAATGAACATTCTCGTTCCATAAAATGCTGTGAAATTCTTCAGTAGCTGCACAAGGGGCAGCTTCTCATGAAGGGCTCAGCTCCATGAGTGAGTGATGTTTGACTGGCTACAGTTATAGAAAATTAAAAAAAAAATCTGCAGATGGCGTTAGTTGCACACTGAATACTGCATACATTGTAACTGAATAAATTCTACCATTCTTTAATTATCGCTGTTATATTAAAACCAGCCATGTCGACTCAATACATTGATGAACCTGTTAATATGAAATTACACCGCCATTTTGTGGTGTACCATCTTCCTCTGCTCGATTAAACCCATCATATCAACACTTCATCTACTTGTTGAAAAGTGTTACCTACCTTTATTATTCAGGAACACCGGGTACTGACCCCTCAAAGGTCAGTTTAGCTACTCTTCGAGAACAATTTCAACTTCTAAATAAAATTAATAAAAGCGCTGTGTGAGCTGATGACAGTTCCAGGAATTATTCAGGTAGATCAACCGCCACGTCTTCATCTGCTGTAACAGAGATACAATCTAACAGCATGGGCAGATCGGACAGACGTACGGGAAAGTGTTTATAAGGGATTATGAACTGGACATAAGACCCCACCCTTTTATTGTGGCCTCTCTGCTTTAATCGTACAGGAAACGTGATTGAGTACAAGAGATATATTAATCATTTGTCTGATCATTCAGTACAAAAGAGGGCGAGTTATGAAGGTTTAACTTATCCTATTAGGAAGTGTAAGATATTTATTACATTATCTGTACTGAGACAGTCATTAAGGGAGGAACGCAGACCGAGGGTGTTTGAGAACAGGGTGCTGAGGAGAATATTTGGACCGAAGAGAGATGAAGTGACGGGAGGTTGGAGAAAACTGCATAATGAGGAGCTTCATAACTTGTACTCTTCTACAAGTATAATTAAAATGATCAAGTCAAGGAGGATGAGGTGGGCAGGGCATGTAGCACGAAAGGGGGGAGAAGAAGAATGCATATAGGATATTAGTGGGAAAACCAGAAGGAAAGAGACCAATCCTAAGACCAAGGCGTAGGTGGGTGGACAATATTATAATGGATCTTAGGGAGATAGGATGGGATGGTATGGATTGGATTGATCTGGCTCAGGATAGGGACCAGTGGAAGGCTCTTGTGAACACGGTAATGAACCTTCGGGTCCCATAAAATGAAATTCTTGAGTAGCTGCAGAATTGGCTTCTCCTCAAGAATGGCTCAGCTCCATAAGTAAGTAAGTAGTAAGTCAGTAGTTCTGAACCTGTGGTACGTGTACCGCCACGGGACATGTGAAGCACCCTGAGAAGATACGTTTTATATATTCTGAAATAATGATCGAACGAACTTAAATCTTTTTTTTTCAATTGTTTCTGTGTATGTAATGAGTAAATATTATTTAAAATTGAGCTACTTTTATCTTGTAGTGTTCAAAATACGTACAAGAGAATTGAAAATTTAGATGCAAATTGAGTCGCCTTTGAAAAGGGGCGCGTGAAACGTCACCCCCAAATCAAGGGTTGCTTAAACTTTCGTCGACTGAATCGCTGTACTACGCAAATTGCAACGCACGCAAAATAAGAGAATTTATTTAGGTCACAGTAACAATGCCACACGTAACTGCATAAGTAAATATCATGGTTAATGTTTCCTATCAAATCCGTAACTACTATAAGGCCAACTAATGATTTCCACCGACCTTGGAGGCTCTGTTGTTCTGCTGATAATCGCTTCATGACAACAGTAGACAGGAAGGGCTGACAGAAAGGAAACCTGTAAAGTCAGACAATAACTTTACTGTTGCCAGTATCACTCGTCACAGAGTATTTCGATTTCCATCACGGACCATCATACGTTGGCTGGCTTGTACGCTGCCACTACCAATAGCTGAGCGATCGGTCTTCGTTTCCATCATATTTCCTCCTCTCTTGCACAGACCAGAGGTCATAGAAAGCATCAGCACTGCATAGGAACTCTACAGCTAATTTTAAGATAAGATTTTGAAGCAGAGTTCGTGATGTATAAGAAATGGACAATATAAGAAACTTGAGCCTTCTGATATACATCCATCTTAAGAAAACAGATGTCACAAGCTGCTACTGCAGGTCATATTCAGATGAACTGACGTTACTTTTTGGCTACTCTCACGATATAACTCTGTGGTTTCGGTGCACAAGTGAACTATATCGACAGAGCGACCGCCGCTTGTCGGCGAAGTTAGTGCAAACTTTAGCGGATAGAGGGTATCGCGTGCTCAGCGCAATGAATCCCCACGACCATTAATTTCATTTTTCTAGACCGGAGCCGCTATTTCCTTGAAATAGCTCCTCAGTAATCCTCACAAAGCTGAGTGGACCCAGTTCCAGACCCATTACTTCTCAGAAAATGTGGTAGTACCAGTATAGAACCAGGACCTCTGGATCTGTAGCCAGGAGCTCTAACCAGTAGTCCACAGAGGCGGTCCTTATGATATAAGTCATAGAATATAACAAGTTAAGTTAACAGATGAAAAGAAGTCAGCATGAATTAAAGGCTAATAACCACATGCAGGTTTGGCATCATAACCCCCAAACATGGCGTCTGAAACCTTCAACAGACGCGTTATCAGGAAGAGTTTTAGAACAGCCTGATCTTAATGACCTTATTCTTTGACGCTATTAGGTTCCAAGAGAAGGAATATGAGATGCGATGATCAAGGCATCCCCCGCTGGTTCCGGATAAAAACCTCCACCTTCGTCCCTTTTCATAAGGAGAGAGCTTATCTGTAATAGCCATCCCAGAAACGAAAGAAGTAAAAAGCTACAAGTGGTGTAACATATATTTTTTGTTACTCTGTAGGCAGTTACTGAAAGGGAAGGGATTCAGTGAAGGTACAGCTTTCCAGCTGCATCTGACATGAGGAGGTCTGTAATTCTGATACCCCTTGCCCTATTGTAGGGTGCGATAGTCATATATTGCAACGATAACAAAGAGGGAAGTGGATATTTTGGGGTCTTGTGAACTGAGAGGATATTTCTTAGTTTATTGTAATATAATTTATATCTTCGTTGAATAAAGATTTTAATCTCTTAAGAATGGGGCTTCTATTTTATGATTCGGAGCCAGGCTTTTCAAAGAATATCAGGGTGAAAGTTGTGTTTCATAAGGGAGTTTGCTTAGATCGTTCGTGCTTAAGGTAAATTCTTCCTCTACGTAATTAATTAAGCACGGCGCCATGAAGGCTCGTAGAGTAATGGCGACAAGTAAAATACTTTGGCCGTACCACGAATGGAAACCAATTCCTCGGCTATCGAGTCCTGAGCCCGTCAGTATATCAACTGAGTTACAACGGATAGTTTATTTAACGGTGCTGTACATGTTACTTTTTTGTTGCTAGTGGGGTGGGACTAAGTCCTTTTTCCTGCGGCTACTTCTGGACTACTGGACCAGCCCCAGGTGAGGGTGATTGTGTGGCAATTGGTGGAATGAAGATTGGCAGGGTAAACCGAAGTACACGGAGAAAACCTGCCCCAGCGCCACTTTGTCTACCACAAATCCTAATTGACCAGACCCGGGATCGAACACTGGCCGCCGAGATTGGAAGCCAGCGACTAACCGCTTGAGCTATGGCATGGCCTACCTGTTACTTACGTTGCTTAGCATCGAACGAGATCAAACTTTGATTACGTACCGTAATCCAGAATCTGAAGCAAAAGATTTATCAATCATTACACCATTTTAACTTTCTATGGAAAGGGGAAAACGAGGTTATTTAAACCACCATGACGTAATATCTATGCCCAATATTATTAATTTGATCAAATAAAAATGAGATGGTCAGTGAATGTAGATGCATATGGGAGATGTTAAATGAGTACGAAAATTTATTTGGAAAATCTTACCGGAAAACACATTCCGGAGACCTTAAGTAAAAAGAGTAAAGTTGTTCCTACGCTTAACTAATTAAACGCTACGCTATGAAGGCATATGGAGGAGTGGATGCATAGCTCCACATTTTCTTCACTTTGGCACCAATTGGAGATCAGCTACACGCCCCTGCCGCTCTACCACAGGGAAAGAGCCCCCGGTACCCATTGGAGAGGAGGCTGGGTGGGTCCCAGAGCCGGTCTGGACGACGTGAAGAAGAGAAATTGTCAGTTTCTCAATAAATACTCCACTTCTACTTAGTTATCTTCCTATTTACATTGTGCGAATTTTAGGATTTCTTAATCTCCACTCGAGGGGTCGGAGTTCGTGACACGATAGTGTCAAGAACATTCTCTTCTCCACTTCGCCCAGACCGGCTCTGGGGCCCACCCAACGTCCTATCCAATGTGTACCGGGGACTCTTTCCTCGAGAGTAAAGCGGCCGGGGCTTAAAGCTGACCATTCACCTCCAGCTAGTGCCGAGGTCAAGAAAATATGGATCTATACACCCACTCCCCCATACTCCTTCATGGCGTAGTGCTTAATTAGTTAAGCACAGGGACAAATTTACATTTTTTTATTAGAGTTCACCACAGATCTGTCTGTCTGTCTGCTTGTCTTTGTTTGGACTTTCTTCTGGTTTCATTACGAATTTGGATTATCAGGTAGGAACTGAATAACAAATTCTAAACATTTACGACCAGTACTTTGATCTCTGAGGCACTGGAGGCCACTACAATTTTCACCTAAGTTCGTTGTTTTACAATAAAATTAATTAATAATTTACTTGCAGGAAACAGAATGTTTTGTATTGCAGCGTGTAGAACTGTTAGGTAGGCCGCACACCGTCATGCATCAAGACATGTAACACCCAAGATACGATATCTGCGACATGATGCAAAGAAAGGAGCACATTTGAAATGAATGAGATTATGAAAACCGTCGAACACCGATCTGAGTCACGATGCTGACGTCAGCTTAGTGATGACGAATCACGAATGAAACAAGACTGCGTCTTTTGTCTCGTGTCTTGATGCTTGTCTTGATGCAGTTGGTGTTTGGCCGCCCTTACTATGAGACTACCGCGAGATAGGCAAATATACCAGACCCGTTTTCAGGCAACTGTTCGGCACACATGTTCCCTCAGCAACGAATCGATACGCAGCAGTAGAAGCACTTTTGGCAACGAGGTGTTTCCTATTCAGTTCGTGCCGAGGATTTATCTTGAAGATGGTTACGGCGACCGGGTGAGTTCTATACAGAGTCTGTGAAGAGAGGATTTGAGGGCGTGAAGCAGAAGAATCTCCACTGTTAGAAGCCGTTGCCAGGAAAAAGGTGGTGAAGACATAGCAGGCTGGAAAGCCTTAGCGGGTACTGTGATCATTTGGGAATATTGCAGATTAGCGGCGGCGCTGTAATTACTTGTAGTTCCGAGTCCAATACAAACCCCGTCTCTAGTCACCATTACATGTTAGTTAGTTAGTTAGTTATTGGAGAGGGCGGGTTTCCCCATGCACTTAGACCTGTATTGGTCCATTGTGCTTCCCTCCATGATTTCTACCAGTCTCTATATCCTACCGGTACTGGTGCTTACCATCAGTCCCGCCCAGCCAGCGAGACCGGCTCTACTAGCTGAGAGGTATCTATAATGCTTCCCCCATCTATCAGAGGTATTAGAGACTGCTGTTGGGCAGGAAACGTCCGTAATTTGGCTCAGTGACCTCCTTTGGAGATATGAGGTTCTTTTACGTGCCGTAAAGCTACGACACGGGACCCACGGCTTAAAGTCCCTCCCGGAGGACTTGTTCCCTGAATTTTTCGGCCCTTAAAAATTCGACGACCTCCGCCGGGTATTTGAACCCGCGTACTACGAGTCATAAGGTGGGAACATTACCTCTAGACTACGGAGGCCGCTCACCATTACATGTTATGGTATATCCAGTATATATGAGAAGCGAAGACTTCGATTAGTTTTGAAATCAAACAACGAAACAAAATTCTCTTCACCCTTCTCTACCCAGTCCTAAGTTACCACAATCTGTAAACTTTTTAATAAACTTTATCTCTGAACTGCAAACCAGGTTTCTCAATCTGCTTTAAGCTCTGTCCGTGTGTATTTGTCCTATAACTGAATGAAGGTGAGAATAAAAGACATTACCATGACTTCGTGAGCTCAGCAGGATTCCAAGAGGTCTTTCACTTTGTCCTCGTCAGTCAGATCTACTTAGTTGGTAGCATCGCCTCAGGAGGTCCATCTTTCATGTTTCTTACATATATGGACCTTCAAAACATTACCCCCCACCTATACATTCTTCTTTGCGTATATTTCAAAAGAATGAAATTGAAATATTGAAAGGAAGAAGCTTAAAAGGGAAATGTGGTGAACGTAGTAGGGTGTATATAAATAAAAACCTAAGCAGATTAATGTGCTTTTGTAAGGCGATAAGAAAGGTAATTCATAATTTTGGCTTTTCATCTCAGTTAGTTGGTAGCTTAGCTGCTAATCTTTTTGAAGTTCAGTCAGACAGAATTAGTACTGCAACTGTTGATGTTACGTTCTGTATGGAGCCTTAATGAGTAACTTCACGACTTACAGGTAGCAGGGCGCCTTTCGGAAACCCCATTTCTCAGTTACATTTCAATATTTAATTATGCATAAAATGAAACTGGAATTCTCTCATACACCAATACACATACGAGTAAATAATGTGACTTAACTTCATATTTAGAGTCTATGAATGAATCAATTTCACGTTTAGTCTTAGCTTTAGTAGTTCATACTTCTCATATCTTTCTTATCTTTTCTGTGTCTTTTTTTCCTTGGCACTACAGCCCCAGTGGGCCTAGGCCTACCTCCATGAACTTCT